ATAATTATCAGTACTATAGTATACTAAAGGACTTACTGATGTATTTTGTAACTTTAACCCACTTCACTGTAACCCCTAGTTTCAGTGATGGCATATTTTTTCGGATACTTCGCACTTCACACACCCGTTTAATAGGTATAAGGAATCCAACTAAAAATAATAAGAGATTTCTGGTAATATTTTATAAACACTGAACAGTTATTACAAACACGTTACGAATTAGAATAAAGTGGAAAAATAAGTTGCAGACGCTGAAGTCAGTTGAACTCAGTGTTGCCAACCTTAAAAATTATGGTACACCTTTTGAAAAATTATGGTACACCTTTTGAAAAATTATGGTACATAATGGTACGCACCATCAAATATTATGGCACAAATTATGGTACATTTTAGGACTTTAAAATTTAAACAACCAGGCATATTTATTTTAACACAAACAAAAAACAAACTTTGATAAAATAAAATAAATTAGGTAAAGGGTGATCCCCTATAATGTTGCCCCATTAACTTTTTTATTTTTAGTGTCCCAAAAAATTTAGAAGTGTGGTTATTTAGGTAATAAAAAATACTTTTTTTACGTTTAAAAAAATTGGAAAATTGATCAGTATACAGGGAAAAACATTTTTTCTCAATAGATCACTTTATATATAAATTTGTTTTTCGATTACTTGTAAAATTCCAAGCATAACTCATAAAACAAACTATAGTTATATATACCTAAATTCAACCGTTTTTGAAATATTCGCATTTGAAAGGTTATCATCAAATATTTTTTTAAACTGTTACAAATAAAGAAGCCTTAGTATAACAAAATGTTTATTGAAAATAAATAAGTTTAGTGACATTATGTCAATAGGTTTTGTTAAGTAAGTAAAAATGGCGTACTCAGACAAAGAAAGATAAACTATTTTAACTTATTATCTTAAAAATAATTTAAATATTTTAGAAACCGTTAAATTTAAATATATTGTAAGTTTAGAATTTTACAAGGAATCGAAAAATAAATTTATATATAGGCCTATAGGGTTTTCCATTGAGAAAAAATAAACATTTTGTTTTTCCTGTATACTGATCAATTTTTCATTTTTTAAAAGTAGAAAATATTTTTTAGTACCCACATAACCACACTTTTGAATTTTTTGGGACACTTAAAATAAAAAATTTAAAGGCGGGCAACATTATAGGGGATCACCCTGTACAAGCAAAAATATAAACTTTGGTAAAAAAATAATAAATTGTTTTAAACTACTTAACACTTTTAATCGAAAACAATATCGCATTCATCACAGTGTTGGTTATTGTATAAATTATTTTTTGTACTTTGTACAAAGAATATTATAGTAGGGATAACAAAACCACAGAGGAGAAAAACAAGTTTGAATAAAAAAGAACCTAATAGTTATAAGTGCTGCCAACCTAGAACAAATTTCTATAAACAGCTGTTAATTGGCAGGACTGATACCTATTAGGTATTACCTAATAGCTTTGCCTAATTTATTTTAGGTGCAAAATTAATACTTAAATTATGCTAAAAGAATATTGTAAAAAAAAGAAATTATGGTACAATTATGGTATTATGGTACGTTAAAAAAATAGAAGGTACAGACCTTTAAAAGTATGGTACAAATACCATAATTATGATACGGTTGGCAACACTGGTTGAACTTGTACTTGAAGGTGTACTTTTTTAACGAAATAATTTGTTAAACAATAACCAAAATAATCTGTACCCTTTAAATTTAACAAAATGCTTACAAAGTTAAAAAACTTTCGGTAAAATATTTTCATTTGTTAAAATAATTGCAAACCCTGGTTTTCTGAAAAAAAATATGTTAAAATTTTAGAAAATAAAATAAACAAACCACAAACTCATGTAAAGAAATCTGATTTTTATAACGCTTGCGTGGTTCAGGAAATCGTCCCATAATCCAAAAAATTTACTTTTTTGAAATTTTTATTATAATATCATGCACTTGTCATAATGTTTCCAAACTTGAAGAGTTTGCTTTAATGAATTTTTACTTACTTTTATAATTAAAGTAAAAATTTAAAATATTAAAATGTTGTTTTAAATATTTGGACATTAAAAACTAAACTAAGGTGTATGAGGATAAAAATATGAAAACTTTAATGAACATTTAATAATTATTATAAAGTCTCTTTATAACATTTAAACAGATTGCACGTAGCGATGAAGTGGTTGGGTGCTTCTAACTTTTGTTGTAAACTTCACACATCAAAGGTTCATTAATTTCGTTCAAAATCCTTTACGCTGAACCCGAAGCTTTTAAAAGTTTTTATCTGCCATACAAGTGATATTAATTGTTTATTGCATACCGAGCGGACTCTTAAACACCGCCAGATTGAAAAGTTTTTCGTACTTGTAACTACTTGAAGCGTCTTCGGGCCGTTTTGTTATCGCGGTAGTTTTGTTGTGTTCGAGTTCGAGGGCTCTAACTTTTCCAAAACAGGTGTGAAGTTTTTATTTTTATCCCAATTTACACTGGGTAATAATAATAATAATAACAATAATAATAATAATGATGTTTATTGCCCAACAGAGAAACTCCAATTACAGGACAAATATCAAATACATACATAATTACCTAATTATACATAAACTAAAAATAATAATAAAAACAAAGTCATGAAAACCTAACATATACAAAACTACTCAAGTATGACCATTAGATGAAAAATTACAGCTTTACTTAGTATTGCCCAACATAAACATTAGTTATAATATAAATTTTAAAGAATCATTATTCAGAGCACAATAATTTGAGATATTCTGTCGCGACCAAAAAGTTCGTTCTTTTTCAAAACGAGATAACTTTTGTGTTTCTTGAACGATTTTATTTTAGTCCTTGATGTCTGCTAGCCCCATCCTCTGGCAATTCATGCTATAGATATGAAGGTCACGGTTCTTCAAGCAAATTTCCTACAGGGTGATATGTTAAACGGTGAAAAATTTCAATAACTTCATCCAAGCCCCGTTTGAAAAAAAATAAATATTGTTTCTCGTTTTTACTTTGAAATAAGTACCTATTATGTCTTACCTTAAAAAGGTTTTCAAATTTTTCGAATTGGAATCTTAGCAACGAAAATATGATTTTTTTTCCAAAAGAGTACATTTAAGGCTTTTTGGTATACAATACACTCAGTCTTTTTAAGAACAAGAAGATATGATTGTGAAAGATTATTCCTTGAATAATTCTGAACAAGCGACAAGCAAGAAACGATTATTTTCATAGGGGCCTAAGCAAAGACCACTTTTAAAAATGGCATTTTGGTGAAAATTTGCGAAAAGTAAACCTGAACCGATATTTACGTTCGTGACATGTTTTATAATTTTGATCTCCTGATTATGATTCAGTTGTCAAATTTAAGTTTTAGATAAAATCAAAATCATCAAGAATCAAAATTCGAAAACAATTCCCGGCTGTTAAATATTTTAATAAAATCCGATTTCTGGCGTGTTTCTTGCATATTTATAATTAAAATGCCATTTGTGGATTAATTTTTTGGGCGAAATTACTGCAATTTGGTTACATAACTTAAATTTACATTGCACACTAGTGATAACTTATAACTGATAAGTACCTACCTAATTGTTAATAAAGTTAAATAAAAATATTTTTGTTAATTTTTGACAATTTTATGCGAATAAAAAATAATCATAATCAAAACTACAACATTCAACAGAAAAATGTAACAAACAATAACAATAATTACTTTCAATCTTCTAAGAACCGTTGATTTGGATATATTAATTCCCGTGGCTGCAGCATTGGCATTTTAATCATTTGCTTCAAATCAACGGTAAATTTTAATGGAATAATGGAAGTAACCTGGGCAAGATAGGGGTAGGTATGTAGGTAGGTAGGTAAAACTTCGAAATTTGGAAAAACACAAGCAAACTGAAAAAATCAATAAAATACCTCATAATGCGTTTTGAATGTTTTTCAAGAACTAATTTTCATCATGATAATAACGTAAACAGTAAAAAAACAGTAAAAACCAGCAATCGTATTTTATTGAGACATTTAACAGAAGGAATTGTTTTCGAATCTTAATTCTTGTTAATTTTGGTTTTATCTGAAACTTAAATTTGACAACTGAATCACAATCATGCAGGAGGGCAAACTTATGAAGAAAACATGTAACGAACGTAAATATCGGGGTAGGTTTACTTTTCGCAAATTTTTACCAAAATGTTATTTTAAAAAGTGTTATTTGCTTAGGCTTAGGAAAATAATAAAAGTTTGTTGCTTGTCGCTTGTTCAGAATTATTTAAGAAACAATCTTTCACCATATTATCTCCTTGTTCCTAAAAAGACTGAGTATATTGCCTACAAAAAAGCCTGAAATGTACTCTTTTGGAAAAAAATTATATTTTCGTTCACAAGATTCCAATTCGGAAAATGAAACATGTTTCAAGGTGATTAATTTTCCAAAATATGTTTATTTTTTACTATGTTGTCTATTTTCAGGGCTTTTTAATGAGCCTTTTATTTTTTTAGATGCCAAGTCTCTAGTTATTATTATTACATAATAATATGGTAAAATCGACAATTTATAATTGGATTTAATGTTTAGGCTTAAACAGCAGAATTTTGTTAATAAATAAAGTTATATTGCCTTTTCTTTTAAAATATTTATTTAAATAAAATAATCTTTCATTTAAAACTTTGTTTACGATAATTAAATTTTTATTTAAAAAAAGGAAAATACAATGTTAAAATTGCATACATTAAAACTTTGTAAAACAATTAAGCTATAATATTGAACAAAAATATTAAAAATAATTTAAATAACTGTAATTTTTCGGACATTCTTATTGGTAAGCCATTAATATTCTAATCTTTATTTGTAGAAACTTGTGCTTACTTGATAAATTAAATAAATATTGTACATGTTTGTCCTAAAAAATCACAATAGGGTATTAAATATTTATTTTATTTACCAAGACATATAAAAACGGGTAACAGATAAATGTACCTAAACATAAAATTATCCTAATAAACTATGGAGTGCAAAATTTTGAAAAAAAATCCCAATGAGGTTCGCCCTCTTCCTAAAGAATTATCGGACATATTAAAAAAAGGTTAGTAAAACAAAAATTTTACATCAAGCATCATTTAAGTGTTAATTTATTTTAAATATGAAATATTTTTTAATAATCAGCTGGGCAAAAACTATTGGTTGAATTGGATTTAGTGGGACCTAAAAATTACGTTATTGGACCATTGTATGGTAAATATAAAGAAGAAATCTATAATTTTCCCATCAGAAAAAATGATGTTTGGATCGTTACACTTGGGAGATCAGGCAAGTTAAATTTGATTTAAATTGGTAAATTGGTCAAGATTTTTAGGATTTAGGAGATGTATTCATGTTTTTAACGCAATTATTTTAAAAATACGATTAAAATTAATGATTTTAAAATGGATTAAAAATCGCATCAAAACATGCATTTCTCTGATAATGTGTTTTCAGAAATAGATATGTATATAAAAAATCTAACTTAACGCAATTATTACCGAAATTTAAAAAAATATGAATATTACAAAAATGGGATGATGGACAAGTATATATAGACAATTGAATTAAAATTGAAACTTAACGCAATTATTTTGAAAATATGAATATTTCGTAAGTAATATCATAAGGGCATCTAATTTTTCCGAAAAAAATCGAAAAAACACGTTGCTAAATAATATTTTAACAAGAAGTGTGAGTGCTGGTGGCAACAAAAATCCGAGTCGAAGACGAGGATTTTTGCATCTGCGCGAATGCATTTTGTTAAAAAATATTACTTAGCATTGTGTTTTTTCGATTTTTTTTCACGTTAAAAATTAGATGCCCGAGTGGTATTTGACAAGACTATTTCATGAGTAACAGTTAACAATTAAAATATAAATTGCAATTTTTGGTGTCAACAGCTGTCAAGTTTAGACGCGGGTAAACTGCTGACAGGTGCTGTCATACAGTTTTACCGCGGGTAAACTGCTGACACGTGCTGTCATACAGTTTTTTCACCTAGAAACCATTTGTAATTTAAAATTGCTCGTTTGTGATTGGTGGAAATTAAGACGAGGGAAATAGTCGAATATAAATTGGAGGACCGATGGTGCGTGATAAAATTAAAATCTTGAAAGCTTTATATTTTAAAGTTAATTTCAGAAATGTTTTATTTATACTCATAATATAACAAGTGGTATAATTATCATCCATGATATTTTAGAATTGAAACCGAGCTGCAGATTTTACTAGTCCGCAGGAGAATATAATGAATTTTAGGATTTAACGAATTGTCAGTTTGACATTTGAAATTAAAATGTGCTTTAAAATATAAAAAGACTTTAATAAACCTTATTTATTCAAACTTACCTTAATTTTATTATCGTTTACACCAACCCATTTAACAAACCCAGTATTTAAATGTCAACAAATGCATCAAAATCCGTGTAAACAAGGTGATCAAAAATATTGTCGCTGTGATAAAATGCGTAACCATGGAATACTGGCATTTTATTGGTTCTAATTATAATGAATTGTATTGTCTGTTACATAAAAAGCACTTTGTACAGAATTAGGCTCCTTTGCATATATGCGTATACGCAATCACTGTATCGTTTGGATTATGACACGCCTGCATAATCGATCCTTATACAGGGTGATTCACCTAACTTATTCATTAGAAGTTTATGGAGAACAGAAAAAGATATCGATTTAAAATTTGTATATCAATTATAAGCCAATGTAAACTACTTTTTAAAATTATTTTCAATGCGTTATCACTTCCGGTTAACCCGGAAGTGATATCAACTTTGGTTTTTCAAATGGAACCATATAAATATTATTGCATTTTTGAATTCTACGTAAAATTCTAGAAATAATAAAATTTGATTATTTTTTTTATTTTTAACAGTTTTTGAGATATTTAATTCTTTTTAAAAATTTTAACAGATGGATTGTCTTACTAATATGTCTGTATTACCACTAATTGTAATGTTAAAAAGTTAATTTTGGTGTAACAATTAACTAAGCAGCACTCTATCGAAAGCCATTAATAGTGTTTAAAAATTTTATACAGGGTGTCCGGTATTTACGTTGACTTTTTTGTCACTTAAAATACCAATAACTTTCTTATTTCAAATGAAACTACCATACAATTTTCATATTATTGGACACAAAATAATGTTTTCTATTGAAATGCTGCAGCATTCCCTATACCTAAAATCAATATTTACAGAGATATTACAAAAAATGTGAAAAAACCGCTTATTTTTTTTTATTTTCAATATGAGTAGTGTGCGTTGGATTGTCTTTTATTTCGTATTTATGAAGTAATGTCAATGTCAATTGGGGTGTCCCTTATTTTTTATTTTTTTACGCATACCCTCTAATTATATTTATTACGTGTTTATATACTCCCAGTAAAAATTTCAGCTCATTCTATAAACGGGAACCCGTGCCGACTTGCATCTGAACCCTCCATTAGCCAACGTTAGGCGCGCGGTATTTTGTAACACGGTTGGCCGCTAGGTCTTCGATCGTAAGTCATTTTGTGTTTGTTATTATGTGACCCTTATATTATAAATTATTAAAAAATGTTAAAATATAGTTTTATTTATGTGTATACTTTAATAAAAATGAATATTTTTACAGGAAGTGGCTAGTTACCCGGAAGTGTCGGGTGAATAGGCCGTAAAACTAATTACCCGAAACTCTATTTTTTATTATATCTGAATGACAGCTAAAAAATAACCAAAAAAAAATTAGTTGATTTTATCCCTTAAATATATTAATATACTAATTAGTATTGCTAAAATATACTGTTATATGAAATTTCAGCTTTTCATAAGCATTTCTTTTCTTGATGTCCTCCCAAAAATATTTCAGACAGTTTTCGGTAGTCATCTCTCACAATAGACTCTTTTAGTTATTTAGAGTAAATCCCATTAAGTTTATCAATTTCAGAGTTTACGGCATATTCATTAGACCCTTCCGGGTAACTAGCCACTCCCTGTGAAAATATACATTTTTATCAAAGTATACACATAAATAAAACTATATTTTAACATTTGTCAATAATTTATAATATAAGGGTCACATAATAACAAACACAAAATGACTTACGATCGAAGACCTCGCGGCCAACCGTGTTACAAAATACCGCGCGCCTAACGTTGGCTCACGGAGGGTTCAGATGCAAGTCGGCACGGGTTCCCGTTTATAGAATGAGCTGAAATTTTTACTGGGAGTATATAAACACGTAATAAATATAATTAGAGGGTATGCGTAAAAAAATAAAAAATAAGGGACTTCCTAATGTCAATGTCTCTGACAATTGAATACGTCAATGCAGAAACTGAATATGTCCTACCTATCTAGTTTTGAGATAAATAAGAAAAACTGAACAGAAAGTGGACATGTTCTGGACATATTCAGTTTCTCTACTATATTAACGCCTTTGTATAATCTATAGATTACCGTGACATGTGAAATTTCTACGCCATTCGATCGGGCACCCTTTACTTATAGTAAATCCATGTTTAACTCAATATCCCTAAAAAGTGGACATATTCAGTTTCTGCATTGACCTATTCAATTGTGTTACAATGGATGATAATAATTACACTAACCAAAAAAGAAAAGTTTTAGAAAGAACAATAGGAACTTTTAATGTGTATAATCAGTATTGTGCGTTGGATTGTTTTTATTTCGTATTAAACAACGTTAAAAGAAAAGTTTTAGAAAGAACAATAGGAACTTTTAATGTGTATAATCAGTATTGTGCGTTGGATTGTTTTTATTTCGTATTAAACAACGTTAAAAGAAATATCAATTTAAAATTATATTGAAAAAATAAACAAATGTAACAAATAAAACAAATCTAAAGTTGTTGTTCACGACACATATTGATACGTCGCAAGATACCTTCAGAAGTTGTTCTCAAAATTTCTTCATGGGACAATTCCGAAAACGTTTGTCTCACTTTCTGAGCAAGAGATTCTTTGCTGTTGCTGGGTGTTTGATAAACTTTAGCTTTTATAACACCCCAAAGATAAAAATCTAGAGGTGTTAGGTCCGGTGACCTTGGAGGCCATTCCCATGGACCACCTCTTCTAATCCATTTTTCGTTAAATAATATTTGCAAATTTTCCGAAACTCTTCTAGAACAATGTGCCGGCGCGCCATCCAATTGGTACCAGCAAAGAAACCTTTCACTTAAAGGCAATTCATCCAAAAATTCGCTTACCGTCGAATTCAATATTTCCAGGTATTTTTCTGATGTCAGGTTCTCTTCGTAGATTCAAAATGAAAATTGATCCTTCATCAACAGACAAAAAACGTTAAAACTAATTTTTTTTTGTAAATTCCCTTGCCGGACCACATGTGGATTTTCAACACACCAAAAGTGTTGATTTCTTGAATTAACAATGCCTTCTCTGGAAAATTTGGCTTCGTCTGTCCATATAAGTTTTCCCAGAAAAGAGTTATCCTCATCAACTTTGCCCAGAATCTCCGTGCAAAACCGCTCCCTTCTTTGAAAATCTGCATCTTCAAAGCCTTGCACTTTTAGGAACTTGTAGTTGTGCATTCCGGTATTCTTAAGTATCTGCTGGGCAGATGTATACGGAATGCCAAGCGCAGCTTCAACTCCTCTGATGGACCCTTGGGGCTCTGCATTTAAAAATCCCAAGACGTTGATTTGATTATCTTCGTTGCCTGTCACCAGTTTTAGCCTATTTCCTTTTACTTTTACTGCGCCATGATTAATAAATCTATTCTATATCGTCCGGAATTTAATTTTGGTGAGTGGGGTTAAATTGGGATACCTCTCATTAAAAGTTCTTAATGTCCTTTCTAAAACTTTTCCGCACTCGCCATATGTATAAAACATGTTTAGAATATCTTGATTAGTGTAATTATTATCATACATTGTAACACAATTGTCAGAGACGTTGACATTGACATTACTTCATAAATACGAAATAAAAGACAATCCAACGCACACTACTCATATAAGAAATAAAAAAATAAGCGGTTTTTTCACATTTTTTGTAATATCTCTGTAAATATTGATTTTAGATATAGGGAATGCTGCAGCATTTCAATAGAAAACATTATTTTGTGTCCAATAATATGAAAATTGTATGGTAGTTTCATTTGAAATAAGAAAGTTATTGGTATTTTAAGTGACAAAAAAGTCAACGTAAATACCGGACACCCTGTAAAAAATTTTCAAATACTATTAATGGCTTTCGACAGAGTGCTCCTTAGTTAATTGTTACACCAAAAATTAACTTTTTAACATTACAATTAGTGGTAATACAGACATATTAGTAAGACAATCCATCTGTCAAAATTAAAAAAAAAAAAATATCTCAAAAACTGTTAAAAATAAAAAAAATAATCAAATTTTAGTATTTCTAGAATTTTACGTAGAATTCAAAAATGCAATAATATTTATATGGTTCCATTTGAAAAACCAAAGTTGATATCACTTCCGGTTTAACCGGAAGTGATAACGCATTAAAAATAATTTTAAAAAGTAGTTTACATTGGCTTATAATTGCTATACAAATTTCAAATCGATATCTTTTTCCGTTCTCCATAAACTTCTAATGAATAAGTTAGGTGAATCACCCTGTATTTTTTTTGTTATTGTTTGATGCTTACCTATTATTATTAAGTACTATATTATTATTACCAAACATTTGGCTTCTAAAAAAACAGAGGTAGAACCAAATATCACGAAGTCAAGAAATCGTCCAAAAGGTTGTTAAACCATATAACAATCTACTCTAGAAATTTATAAAATTAAAAGCTAGGCAGAATTGTTGAAACTAATCTTTGCTTAACAATTTTTGTCAAAATAGGCTCTATTTACCATACTAGTGGTTACTTGGGTATCCGGAAACAATAAAACGAATTCAGCGGATTGTGCCTCTAAATAGAAATACATTTTTAGGAACAACATTGATGACTGAAATGATTTGGCAAATTTGCAACAACATGGATTTCAAAACAGGCTTAGAAAAACTTTTAATCGAAAGAGTTCCATTTTTTGAGTTTGCTTTGATTAAAAAAATGGAAGGGCAAAAAGAAAAACTTCTTAAAGAAAATGCCAACGATCCTAAGAAATGTGAAACAATCAGGGCAGTTTTAACACCTGAATGGGAAAAAACTGAATATCCAGAAACAAGGATTTATAAAACTCACTTTTCACTTTCATTGCTTCCATCAGAATTAACTAAGGAAGGGAGGGTAAGTAAAGTTAATTTTACCTTTATCTTTATAATTTTTTATACCGATGCCTTATAGGTCAGATTAAAGTTGATAACACTAATCAGGACAGGTTTCTAAACCAAAAGTAAAATAAAATAAAGTTTTTAATATTTGAGGTTATATTACTTCACACTGTATTTTTTTTCGTAAAACTTCACGTCACAACATCTAGTAGGACTTCTCTTTTCCATTTAAATATTTTTTGATTTTTTTCAATATTCCCTCTCCTCTTTGGAAAATCATTATATGGAATTTATGAATTTTGTATAAATACAATTTTGATTTATCGTTTCGTTCATAAGTATCAGTAAATTATTATTTATTGTTTAATACGGGCCAGGATTTTGAAAATTTCTGATGGTGGCAAAGGTGGAAGCCGGGCGAGTAAAATGAGAGGCAAATTAGGAATTAAATTTTTATGCTTTTTCCTTAGCAAACATATATTCTATATCCTCAAAATGTATTGCTTGTGCAAAGTCCAGATAATCTCTTTGGACTTGCATGCATCTTCTAAATTATTTGCCTAAATCATTTGTTTTAAATCAGAAGAATTGAGAATGTTTATAAATTACTTCTGAAACACAAGGTTGTGTTCCAGCTCCAGGCAAAAATCCGTGGAATTCAAATCCTTGTATTTTAAGGCTAGATCAACACCTTGTTTTTAAAAGATTTAAAATTTTCGTAAAAACTGGTTGTCAAAAAAAAATAAACTGGAAAAAAGTGTTTTAATTGCTGGGCATGTTTTATAGTATTAAATTTTAGTACATAGGTATTTTAAATTTTATTTACAAATTATTTTGCTAAAAACTGACCCGGCAATGTAATGCGCACCTTTTATATTTAAATATAATACATTAAATATTTTAATTTTAAGCCCTTAAATTTAAAAAATATATATTTTGCGATAAACTGGCAATATGTGATTGTTGAATCATAGATTTAACAGAAAAATCTTGCATTGTTTTTTATCTAAATAATTACACATTGTGCAAGTAGGCCACTTCTCGAAACCTACTTACTCAGCAATATTTCCACTCAGTAGCGCACACAATAAAATATAATACAAAGCACATGCTTTCACTAGTACGCCACTGAGGTATGTTATTAATCTATTGTAAATTGTTATTAATTTATTTGTAAATTATTATGATTTTATTGGATATAAAACCCCAACAACTTTTAAATGAAAATATAGTTTAACTTTGCTTATTCTATCATTTAATAAGTGCTAGAAACTTATTCAGTAATTAAAAATTAAAAAAAAAACGCTTAAATTAAGTATAAAAAATATTTATTAAATTACCAAACAAACAAAATCACAAAAATATTCAGTGATAAAAAAACAAAAAAAGCAATCTAAACAATTTAATAACTACAACTGGTTTTTAGTGACGTACTCTCTAAAAATCAATTAGTCAAAAATGACTAGTTTTAAAAGAAAAAAAGCAGTCACTAATAACTTTAGTCAGCTTATTATTATGTAAAATTATAAAAGTAAAGCAGTTTTTAAGATATAGTCAATTCTATATTATATGGAGAATTTACTAAATCTCAAAAACGTTCTACTTTTATAACTTTTGACGACATTTTCGGATTCAGCAGACAATTTTACATAGGAGTTGACTATTTCTATTGACGATAATTATTAGTCGCTGCTTTTTCGCTATGGCAATTAGTCTAATTGAATATAAGAATTGGTTGTTAAATTTTGGGATACCATGGTATTTCATGGTTAACCATGGAACAAGTAAAAAAAAGCAGCCACTAATAACTATTGGTCATTTTTGACTAATTCTATTTTAGAGAACTTACGTTGCAAAGTCATGCACTGAGTAAACAACTGTTAAACTTTGCTACCGTCAACTGCAACTATCAAACAAATACTAAAAATATTATGACCATTTGTCTCCTTTTATTTTGATCCTCATATGAAAAAAATAAGCTGCCAATATCAATGCGGCAAAAGGCGCTTTAAAGCACAAAAAAGAGCGGTAACCTTTATCCTATGTATGTTTAAGTATTATATGCAATAAAGTTTATTATTACAAAGTACTTATTGACTCTTTGATTTTGCGCCCCCAAAATGTTGCGGCTGCGTGCGTGCACGCACTGCACGCTCGCCAGGAACGGGCCTGGTGATCCTACACTATATTAAACTTATAAAGCTGCTACGAATACCAGCAATACACAAACTTTCGTTTCGTAACTTTTCTCATATTTGTATTTTTTACATTATACATAAATTTAAATTTTATTGTTTTTATAGTCAGTATAATTAATTATTAAATAGAAAACTTCCTTTTATTTATAAATACTATAAACTATAGTTTTGACGATATTACAAAAAGCCGGTCTTCCTAAACATAAATATTAGGAGCAAATCCAAGTATATTTTTCATTTAACTCAATTAAAATTCGACAAAAATTTGTATAATACTTGAGTACCTATATTTCTTAAAGCTATTAAAAATATTTAACAATTATTACAAACATACAATTATTTTAGGTTGTCTATGTAGCTAGAAATCCTAAAGATATGGCAGTGTCTGCATATCATTTTAGTAACAATTTTGAAGATCAGCCGCCATTCGAGAAATTCTGGGAACTTTTTGAAAAAGAATTAAGTATATTAAAAAAAATATTTATAGTGACTGGGGCCTAAACCATTTTTAAAATAATCTTTATTTAATAAGTGTTATAAAAAACATCTCTTTAAGGGTATTACAGAAAGAGATACGTATATAGAAATGTATGCAAAACCAAAGTTAATAATTGCATAAAAAAGACAGTTGATTTTTTTACTTACTCCATTAAAGACGTTGAAAACAATTTTAATGAAAAATAAACGTGATAATTTAAAAATGGGTATGGTACCTTATGTCACACATTTACATCTAAATAAATAATTATATTTTAGTATGGTCAAAGGTAGAGCACACCTTAGAAGCATGGAACATAAGACATCAAGAAAATGTGTTGTTTTTATTCTATGAAGATATTGTTAAGGTAAGTGTTAATATATTAAAACTGTTTTACATTTTTCACATGCAACGCCACGCGTGCACGACAAACTATAACCAATTATGTGAATCAGTTTTTGTTTCAAAATAAATTTCTATCCAATTTATATTTTATATTTTACATTCATATTTATAGGATATGAAAGGAACAATCTTAAGGGTGGTCAAATTCCTTGGCAAATCATACACCAACGCTGAAATAGACAAGTTGACGGAACACATGAAATTTGATAATTTCAAAAAAAATGACAGCGTCAACAAAGATTACTTTGGTACGTTTATAAATACTGGAAAAGATTTTACCCATGTGAGAAAAGGAGCCAGTAATATTCATGAGGAATTATTTACAAAAGAACTTAGTGAAAGGGCAGATAATTGGATCAGGGAAAATTATTACAAAAAAAGCGATATTAGGTTTTACAGTGTACCTGAATAATTTAAAAAAAATTATTGTTTGTTTTTTTATAAATATTGTATAAGTAACTTTTTTGTATAATTTTACAAATCCAACGTTGGCACAAGCCTAAATAGTTTTACGTACGCAATTTTTTTAGCTTACTTTAGCTTTTTACTTACGGATAGCGTTTATCGAAAGGGAACTGTAGGGTGGTGCCCCACAATTAGTATTCTCTGAAAAATATCACTTGTCTTGACGAATTCTGTACTTATCTTTTTGTAATATTAAAATTAAATATTATTATTTAATTACAACTTTAGGCTTTTAGTTATAGGCAACTGTTTGAACAGTTGTGCGTTTTTGGTTTTATAATCATTATTATTTTTATAAAAAATGTAATTATTGGGTTTATAAGATAATTGTGAATTATCTAGTTATCGTAAATAGGATACTTAATTAATATTTGAAGCCGTGCTGATAATTATAATTATAATTATTAAAAGAATTAACAGAAACTTTAAGTTCTACAATGCGCATGCATAAAGAAGCTTCTACTGTTTTGGATGAGTCCATTATTTAATGATGGTGGGAAGGAGGCTCGAAAAAGGTTTTTTGATTGGATTATTAGGGTGTTGGCTGTTGGTGACTACACACGTGAGGTGAATGTTAAAAAACAGAAAAAAATTAAAAAGAATAAGGGGATCTTCGTACATTGTGGTTTTTTCATATTAGAAGAATATACAGGTTGGTCTTTGATATTATTTATACTACATATTTTGTTGTAAATGATTGTTTTACATATTTTAATTTCTCCAACGGGTGCCATTACACAATGCTTGTAGTCACGTACCTCAAAAAAATGCCTATTTTTCTCAATTATTTATTATTTAAAAAAATATTGAATTAACATTTAATTAATATTTTAAATACTATTGACGCCTTTGAGTCGACCATCAATTGGGAAACACCCTCTATATTGATTTTTATACATTACTTCTATAACCGATATAATAATCTATTATGCATCAGTAAGATTAAATAAATCAAAATAAAATAACTTTAATTATATTTTTACTATAGTACTCTCTATTGAATAATGACCCATAAAAAATTATAAATGGCCTATAAAAATCATGGATTTGTATACATCTTTTATATTCTCATAAAACCATTGACCGGTTTCCAATAGAAATTTACATGTGATTTTATTGTTCTTTAATGCATTTTATGTATAATTTGTAAATCTGAGATATGCTTTCGAAATAAGAGTTTAAGTGGGCTTTAAAATTATGATGCCATACAATGTGAATAAAATCGTTTACAAGGTTTAACAAATGTATTTTTGCAACAAAAACCCAAAGTGTGATAAATTATAAAATAGAAGCATCAAATTTTCAAACGTTTTATATTATATTATGTATCATCTGTTTTGAGTTTTTCGTAGATGAAGTAGTTATAAAAATCAGTTTTAAGTTTGTTAGTTTTATTTTTACATAATTCTTTGTAAAAAAACAGAGTTTGTATTTATTTTAACAAAATAAAAAATTTTACCGAAAGTTTTGTAAAGGTAGAATGCAATTTTGTATGTTATTTTTCTGGTTCCTTTATTCTAATTCGTAATGTGTTATAACTAAAGATGGTATATTTAGGTACTAAAAACTGAAAAATAGGTAACTAAAAAGGTACTAAAAAAAGCATTTTAGGTTAAAAAAAAGCATTTTAGGTAAAAAAACATTAAAAGTTCAAGTTTCGTTTATAATTTTGTTTAGCCGCATACCCAAACACAGAACATACCCATAATAAACTATTTCACTGTGACACTTACTATAGTAAGTGTTCTGTCATAGAACTTTTGTGTATACACAAAAGTTCTATGACAGAACATAAGCTCGCTACAAAGAAGGTAACTGTAAAGAAAGTTACTGTTACAGTCTGTGACCATAAGAAAAAATTCTATACCGTTGAGTTGCACGCCCTGGATAAAATATTGGCGCAAAATTTAAAAAGAACACAAAAAAATAAAATAAGTCAAAATACGTAAAAATAGGTAACAAATAGGTGAAAATAAACTGACAAATTAAAAAATAGGTAACAAAAGTATAAAAAAGGTGAAAACAAGTTAGGTTCATATAAAAGAAAATCTTTTAAAACACATTTTGGCATTATTGGTTTTCAAATAGTTACATCGGTTGAAAAAAGGTAAAATAACTAAAATCCCATCCCTAGTTATAACAACTGTCCAGAGTGTTTATAATGAATTTCCAGAAATCTGTTATTATTGCTATTCGGATTTCTTATACCTATTTAAAAAGTCTGCAAAGTGCGAAGAATCTGAAAAAAAAAGCCGTTTTTAAACTGAAATTAGGGAATATATATTTACAGTGAAGTGGGTTAAAGTTCTCGAATTCCAAAAATAGGTACTTTTTTTATTAGGTCTATAAAAAGGTTTGTAAAAATAAGGTCCTTATTAAAAATAACAAGAATTATGGTTGAATTATTGACATAGAATTTTGTTATAAAATCTACAAAATGTTTGTTTTAATTAGTTAACATATTACAGTTGGTTGAAACTTAACATAAAGTTATGTGGACCTGTATTAACATAAAATCTGGTTAATATTTGGTTAAAATTAACAAATATTTTTTACTGTGTATGCAACGTTTATAAACTTCTCTAGACACTTGTTTTTATCAAACACTCGCTTGCAAGCTTCGCTCCTGCATAATTAAAGTCTTAACCAAAATGTCGTTTATAAAACTTTATACATAATATAATATTATCTATCCAAGTATAGTATACATTTAATATAAAAATGTTTTATGTTATATAGAAACTAGTTCATTAAATCGAGAAAAAGTAAGGGTAAAACCGTTTGACACACGTCAGATTGTAAAAAGTAAGGTTTAACTTAATATAATTAATTTATTACAAACTTGCTTCGCAAGCTTTGATCGAGCATAATTAAACTCGTGTATTAAATGAAGTTTCTAAAACTATTATATAGTACTTTATAGAAAAATATAATAAAGTTTTTTTTATTTAAATGTTAAACATTTTATTAGAACCTAAATAATAAAATATTCTGTTATCTGCACCGGATCTCCATAACAATAAAAAAAATGCATCTGGTATAACTTAATGGACAACGGGGCCTCGAGGCCGGGTAACACAGTTCCTCTAGCGACTTCTGAAACATAAACAAGTCACTGAGAGACAAATCTGGCAAATATAGTGGATTAAATGAATAATTTATGCATTTTGGCATCAAAACTACGTGTTGTTACGATTAGGTTTATTCTCCAAAATGAACAAACGCAGAAATCTTATTTTCAATGTTTTGTGCAAAATCATATCTAATGAGCCATATTATATCCTTGTGGACTTAACAAATTTATTATTTCTAACCAAATTCCTAAAAGAAATGGTGATATGACTTAAGACCATATCGTGGATAATTTTTGACGTAATCGCGCCAGTTGAATTAATCAAATTTTGTTTTGTTTGTTTATTTTTGTTGGTGTTTTGGCTCTAAATATATATTAGGGTGTCCCAAAAAAAAAAGAATATATTTTTTTTTCTTGTCTCTTGTAAAAATATGTTAGTTTATCATGCTGTAAGAGCCCTTTCAAAATATCAGCTCGATTAAAAATTTTGTAGGGGTCGCTCAAGATTTTTAAAAATTTTCAAAATCGTCAAAAATTGAATTTTTGTTTTATTTTAATTTTTTTTCTCGTCTCGATATTATTTTTTAGGTTGAAAATTCTGTAAATTTCAAATCAATATTTTGATTTCTAAAGGTCGCTAAAAGTTCGTTGATATTTATATTCAGAGGTCGCTCGAAAACATTCAAAATACTCTACTTTGAAAGTTAAAAAAATCTTGAGCGACCTTTAGAAATTAAAATATCGATTTGAAATTTTCAGAATCATTATTATTTTTAAATTAAAAAATAATATCGGAACGAGAAAAAAAATTAAAATAAAAAAAAAATCCAATTTTTGACGATTTTGGTAATTTTTAAAAATCTTGAGCGACCCCTAAAAATTTTTTAATGGTGCTGATCTTTTGACAGGGCTCTTAAAACATGACAAACCAACATATTTTCACAAGAGACGAGAAGAAAAAAAATATTCTTTTTTTTTGGGACACCCTAATATACAGGGTGTCCAAAATGTGATGGGATAGTATTGCTATCTCGGTAACGGTTATAGTTGGAATAGGGCATCAAGAGTTCAAAAGTTGCGTAATTACATGCCTTTTAATATGGCATGAAAGATTGCAAAAAAAAAATCAGCGGTTCTCAAAATATTAAAAAAATATAAAAATCGGTTAAAACTTATTATCGCTGTAACTTTTTTATTTCTAGGAATTTTAAAATACTGAAAGGTTTACATTAAAACATATAAAATTACATACATTTTGATCCAATTTGTGTATTTTTACGCCAACTAGATTTTGAGATACGGCTACTATCTTTTGTTTCTCCTATGGCCGCCATATGTGGCCATATCTCAGAATCTAGTAGGCGTAAAAATACACAAAAAGGTTCAAAAAGTATGTAATTGTGTATGTTTTCATGTAAACCTTTTAGTTTTTCAAAATTTCTATAAATAAAAAAATAATAGCGATAATAAGCTTTAACCAATTTTCAGTTTTTTTCAAATATTTTGAGAACCGCTGATTTTGTGTGCAATCTTCAGATGCCATGATAAAAGGCATGTAATTACGCAACTTTTGAACCCTTGATGCCCTATTCCATCTGTAACCGTTTCCGAGATAGCAATGCTATCCCATCACATTTTGGACACCCTGTATATACATATATTTTCTGCAAATAACTGTTTTTTTGTATCGTCTGAAAATATTAATATCTAGTTGTTTGCCTTAAGGTGTGTACACACTCTTTTGTTCGCCTGTTTTGGGGGGAAAATATTGAAGTATCCCGTTGAAACTTGAAAGTGAAAGATAAAATATTCGAGCTTTAATTGATTGTAAAAAATAAACCAAAAAATAAATATGGCTAAAAGTTTGATTTTGTAAAATATAGATGAAATTATTAAAAGTACTTTTAATTAACATTATATGGGAATGTGTTATCTGAACTGAA